CATCATCCTCATCATCCCCATTCCGATCATGCTGATTATTCTCAGCAACACCAGCACCATCACCATCGTCATCGACATCATCTGCACCGTCATACCATCATCTTCGTCATTATCTCCTTCTCATAGACATGGCATCCTTTTCATCCTCCTCTTCCCTCCTCCCCCCTATGACCTTCCAGTCGTCATGTCAATCATCTTCCCAGGTTTTCATCGAAATCCATACGTTCCCTACCCTCGTCCTGCTATTCCTCCCCCTGTTCATCCGCCTTCTCCTCCTCATTCTCCTAATCCTCCTCCTCTTCCTCCTCCTCATTATCATCATCGTTATTCCCTTGTCCCTTCCCCCCCGCCTCCTCATTCAAACCCTCCTCCCCCTCCTTTTCCACTTCTTCGACTATCCGACATATCGACCGACAATGCGTCTTACAAACACAACGCACTGTCGAAATGATAACTAAGTTGCTCTCGCGGCCCGTAATTCACGACCAGAGACGGAGAGAGTCACTAAGGGACCAATCTTGGAACCGGTCCTTCTTGTAGGAGTTTACCGATTGAACGTCCTACAGCGATACCATCATGCTTCGTGTGTGGTGAATGCGCCTCAGGCAGAGCGGTATACCAACGGTAGAACCACTGTTCTTCACACGAAAAACGTGTAAAACATTGTGGGGGCCTCTCGAAAAAATTCTCCACGGATGGGTTCAGACCAGACCACGCCGACCGAATCGCCTACATGTGCCCAGGGTGCCTAAATACACATTCACCCTCGACTCCCGAGGTCCATAACAGAAGAGTGGTGCGCATGAAGTTCGGAGGATGGTCTGCGAAGACCAACCCCGATCAACCCAACTCGCCCGACTCGTCAAACGTCCGCTACTCCCCCAGCACTTTCCATAACCCGCGAATGTCAGGGTAGTGTACAGATGAAGGGTGAAAAGTAACTCGCCACGCCTGTCACTGCTGTATGCACGGCCATGTGCACATGACCCTGCGCGGTGGTGGCCCGGCCGATTCCCTCTGCAGAGGGTCCTTGAATCTTCGCTTGGCATGTCCCCCGCGTTTGCCCGTCCTTTCACTTTGACAAACTATGGGAAATCACCCAGGACAGCTCGAGCAATTCCCGCCAGATGTGGGAGGCTTGCCCCCGAGAAGGCCCTGCCATCAGATATGGCCTTTCCCAGCGTTGCACGATCCGCGCGCAGCGAGCCGAATGCGCAGCGGCCAGCACCATCAGCCACCGTGCCCTTGAGGCACAAGCTGGAGTGTCTTCAGGTCCTTCGCCTACTCCAGACTTCGTAAGAAAGGGAGGGGGGTCTCATTTCGGGGGGGGGTCTCTTCTAGGCTGTCTTGGAGGGCCTGGGGGGGTTGGGGGACGATGTTTGGGAGGGTTCTCCCACAGGGGGGGTCTGAAATGGCTCGTCTTGGAGGGTCCAGACCCCCTCCCTTTTGTTACGAAATCTGGAGTAATCCCTCAAACCTGCACTCCAGCCAGGGGATGACTTGGAGAGGCCCAGACCCCAAGACTCCCACAAAAACCTCTCGGGGCGCGCCGCGTGCCCCCCGCGGCGCCCGGCGCCCTGTCGCGCGACCGTCTCGGAGCCAACAAGGCCCGAAGACAGGCCACGGGGGCACCAGGAGGCTTCAAGATCAATCCGAGGCCCCGAATCGCGAAAAGATCGCTCCAGGACGCCGAAGATGGCCCCAAGACGGCCCGAGATGCCCCCAAGAAGCCCCTGGATGCCTCCAAGAGGCCTCCCACGAGGACCCGACGAGGCAAAAATAATTGATGCCCCTTCGGTTATTCAATGATTGTAGCGCTCTCGCCCTCGGCTTTCCAACGGTCCAAGACGGCACGAAGAGGCCTCCAAGATCGCCCCGAGACGGCCAGAAGGCCCCAAAGTGGCCATCCGAGACTGCCCAAGGAGCCCCGAGACGGCTCCAAGACGGGGCCCAGATGGGGGGCCCGAACGGACACGTTACTCCCTCGGCCCCGAGAGGTCCCCAGCAAGCCCCCAGAGGCACCCAAAACGCCCCAAAGATGCCCCCAGTGGCCCCCAAGAGGCCCCCGGGAAGCCCCAAGGGGCCCCAAGAGACTCCCAAGAAGCCCCCAAGAGGCCCCGAAACTGCCCCTTAAGAGGCCCCCGAGAGCGCTCTCCGAAGAGACCCCAAGAAGCACCCCTGTGGACCCTGACCCCCAGGCACGGCGGCGGGATGGGCCGCATGACATTCGACAGCCGAGGGAACGAAAACAGCCCCGTGCTCTGCGGCCCCGCCGATCCGGGGCACGGCCGCAGGGAAGGCGCTTGCAGCCCGCAGGCGAGCCCGCCTGCTACGCCTACGCCACGGACCACGCAGACGCCCGCGCGAGGGGTGGATGCGGCGAGAACTCCAGCAGGAGCCGCCCAGAGTTCGGCGCCCAGCTCCAACCGAAACTCCAGACGGGGGGACCCGCTGGGCCCCGAGACAGGATCTCCCATTCGCTGACCTGACGACGGTTCTGGGCGGCGCCGAGAGGCGCCAACCAAACTCGACTGAACAGAGGGGAACTGGGCTGCAAAGCCTGGTCGATCGCGCCCCCAGGAGAACATCGTCACGACCGCACGCGGGCAGAAATGTCGCCGGACTCTGCGCCGCGCGTTTTTTCCCGGCCACGCCAATCGCACACGCTGGACACAGAGTAGATCATCGCGGCCAATGCGGCCCCAGCGGGAAGGGCCCCTCAGAAACAATGGCGGAATCTGACCACGTCGAGGTGGAACAGCTGCACCTTCTGAGTGCGCGCAGAGTTGCGAGAGCCTCTGGGCCAATCTCGCCCCAGCCATCATCATGGACTCGGCTCGCCGCTCACGGCGGCCGACTTCCCTTATCAAAATAAGCGGCAAAGTATGAGCATGCCACGGGCTGGTGACAACGACGGAGGACGACGCCCGCGCGGGGGGCAGCGCGCCCTTCACGACCATGCGCCTCGCGAGCCGGAAAGCTCGGGAAGGCGAGGGCCTCTCTTCTGGTCGATCCCCGGGGCGTCGGAGGCGGGGGCGCCGGAGCGGAGCGGGCGAGGGGCGAGACGGAGCGAGGGCCACCCGAAACCGCGTGCAACGAGGGGCAGAACTCATTGGGAAGCCTGGGAATTGGCACCAATACCAGCCCAGGGGGTTGCCTGATGATCCTAGATTTCGGTGTTGGTGGCAATATTTCGGCCACCATGAAGCCAGAATATTACCACCATCACCGAGATCGGGATCGTCTTCCATCAGTGGAAGCACACCGCCGATCTTGGTGTTGGTGTCAACCTCTAGGCCTGCGACTTATTCAGATCTAAGCAGCTGGCGCGGAGGGGCCGCCGAGGACGCCGAGCATGCCATATTCAGATCTAAGCAGCTGGCGCGGAGGGGCCGCCGAGGACGCCGAGCATGCCAGGCACCAAGGGTACCATGTGTCTTGCCGCAAGCAGCTCGCACTTGCGCGTGGGACTGTGAATCTGTCAACTGGCCGGGCAAAGCCCCACTGATGGCCCCGAGCGAAGCCCCGCTCGCGTCCACCACGGCCACGACGCGCCGGCACTGCGTCCAGCCTCTTCCAGCCGCGCGAACGCCTCCGCAAACGGGCCTCTGGTCCCAAAAAAGCCACGCGTCGCCGCGCAGTCCCAGAACGCGACACACGGCAGCACGGCGCGCCCGAGGCTGGGCGGCCGCTGACGGGGAGGGCGCCCGGATGCAACTGTTCAGCCGGATGAACAGCAGCTGCCACCCGCCACTCCCTTGTCAGCCTGCCCACCGGCTCCGCCGGAACGTCGGCAGGGCCCGCGCGCTGGGCGAGGCCCCCAGAGATGGTCGACCTGGGCCCCGTGGAAAGCCGCGCCAGCGCCCCCGCGAGCGGCGCCTCGAACAAGTCGGGCCTAGCGGGGGTCGAGGACGCGTGGCATCGGCGGCCGAGCGGCCGATCTAGGCGGGCGCGCGGCGCGCCCTCTGGATCAATTCGCAGATGAAGGCACCACGACCAGGGGATCGTCCGACAACAAAGGCAGGCAGGTGCTCGGGGCGCCCGTCCTCGGGCCCGCGCGCGGCCTGCTCGCAGCTCCCGGATCAAGCGCCCGCCCTGGTCAAACCCCCCGCGACGCCCAGCTGCGAGCCCGCCAGCTACGGGGCCGACGTGGCGGAGAGCGGCCTCCGACGCAGTCCGAGCCTGCCGACGAGCGAGCCTTCGGGCAAGAGAGACATTGCGCGGGACCTCCAGCATCGGCCCGTCGGAGCGGGCGCCATCCAGACCAGGGGCGCCATGTCGAGAGACCTCGCGGAGAAACCCGCGAGCGCTTTCTAGACAGATCTCCTCGATTGGCCAAACAATGGCCGCTCCTTCCAATCCTCCCAGCCAAACTGGCCCCAGGAGACGCGGAAGCCGCCCATGAAATCCCCCGCCTAAGCTAACCAGGTCACGCCAGAAATCTGCGGCCCCACATGGATGCCCGAGGAGGGCGCCGCCTGCGGCCAGCAAGACTGGGGTAACAAAGTCTACGCCGAGCCCCAGCGCAGCACCGACTGGGCCACTGCGCAACGTCAAGAGTCGCACGCGGACGACTCCACCTCAAACTGGCCCAGGATCGCAGAAAGTCCCGCGGGGGCACTCAATCGCCGTGGAGTCTCAGAGATTTGCATTGGACGAGACACGCCGGGCGACGGCTATGCACTGCCGCGCGCGCCGCGGGCCCCAAGCTTCCCAGCAGCCCGCGACATGGGCCGCGGCCCCATCAAGGGGGGCCCCCGCACGATCCAAAACCTAAACATTCTCAGCGCTGGGCTACGGGCAATCGCTGGCGGGGCACTGCTGGCTGCGACGCACGGACAAACCCGCGGCACCAGCTCTCGCAGGATACTCAATACGTGCGAAAGGAAGCCCACAATAATTGTGGGCGTGTGGGCTGCGACTGATGCCCGCTTGGCTTTGGTTACCTGCTGTTCCAACTGCCCCTGTTTGGCCACCGCCCGATTCACACCCAACTGGGCCTGTGCCCGTGCCCATGCATGTCTGGCTGCCCCGACTGCGGGCGGAGGCGGAGGTTAGTGGTCGACTCCTGCTTGTCCAAAATATGTTGGTCGCACTTTGCTTGCTGGTGTCTCCCAAATCGGTGAATACGCGCCCGAGGTTGGCCAATTTCGGGAGTTCTTCGACCGTGAACTCTGGAGTGGGCTGCGGGCCCACCCACCCCCGAGGCACCAAGCCGGAGGCCTGGCTGCTCGGGGACCTGGCGCGTACCTTCGGAGGCATGTCTACGGCTCAGCGCAGGCCCCAGTAGAACAGCAGGAGCAGGCTGACCCCACACACCAGCAGGTAGGGCGCGCCACGGAGCAATGAAGCTGGTGTCTGCCTGGTGCTGCCACATTGCTGACACCGTGCCCACCATCGCATTGTCCGCCCGCATCCGCATATGTTACATTTCCCACAAACACCCATCAGAGTCATGAGAGGGTTGTCGCCAGGTTTTGCCCCATTGACATATGGGACAATGACTGGAAAACTGTCCGCAACTGGGTAGCAAAAAACGCGGGGGATGAACCCCCAGCGCAACACCTGAGACAGAAAATGCGGGAGATGTTGGGGCCGTCGACCCATCAAAAAGAAAAACACTATTGCCGTTGCGTCTTCCGCTGCAGTCTTGAACTAGCATGGATACGGTTTCTACCTCATCCCTCATCCTCCTGATTCCTGACTCCTGACGGCTGCAGTATCCTCCGGACGCAGTCCCCCCGCCCCCGGGCCGGTCGTTCCTGGGGGGGCGATCAAGCTAAACAGCCAGGTGACATTATCTCCGGCTGTGGCGACGTGATAATTTGTAAAGGTAAGACAGACAAGACAGACACTGGGAAGGGAAGGAGGAGGGGGAACCTGACTAGCATAGGCGAGAGGATGTGAGCGGCCGCGGTGGAGCAGGTGGCGGCGCTGAGGAGGTGCGGCGCGCAGAGTGGCGGCGGCCGCCCGCGGTCACACTCGCCAGAGTGGGAAGGCTCCAGGGCCTTTCCCTCTGCTCCTGGGAGCCCTCCACGCGCGCCACAGGAGTCAAAGACGGTATCCCTCCCCTGCAAGCATGCGCAGGGCTCCCAGTGCACTGACCTCGGGGCCGCCTGGGACGATTTCACCGAGCTCGAGGGAGGCTTGAGCCTTCCATGCGGCGGGGGTGGCCACTCTGCCCAGAGTGGCCGGCCACACTCGCCCAGGCGGAAGGCATGCACACAGGAACCACCCCGAGGCGTCCACCGCCCATTCTGACAAGCAGGAGTAAGGTACCCAGACCGCGGGGAAGGTGGCCGACCACCTGGGGGGGGGTCCACCCTGCGCGGGGGAGGTTGACGCCTTCCGTGGCGGCGGCGCGATGCTGGTAGTGAATCCCCCCCGATATGACCCCACAAAGTACCCACCCCCCACCTTTAGTTCGAGCAAGCGACTGGTGGTCGCAGCTGCTGTTGCGAAATGCGGGTGAAGCTGAGCGGCGATGCACTGCTGGGGCAGAAATTCGCCGCGGTGATGCGGCATTGCTAAGGTAGACGGTGATGGCCACAGTGAAACGAGGCGATACTACCCCTGCTGGGTGCGAGGCAAACTGTGCCTATCGGTGCCATGTGGTTTGTCGGTTCACTCCTAACCCCCGCGATGGCCCCAAACAGTGTTGCGCACGATCAGGCCGTGGAGAACTGTTCGGGGTCCTCCTCCTCCTCCTCCTCCTCCTCCTCCTCCTCCTCCTCCTGCTCCTCGTCATCGTCATCATCATCATCATCATCATCATCATCATCATCATCATCATCATCATCATCATCATCATCATCACCACCACCACCACCACCACCACCACCAACCCACCACCACCATCAACATAACCACCACCACCATAATCACCACCACCATCACGACCACCACCATCATCATCATCATCATCACCACCACCACCACCATCACCACCACCACCACCACCACCACCACCACCATCATCATCATCATCATCATCATCATCAGCATCATCATCATCATCATCATCAGCAGCAGCAGCAGCATAATCATCATAATCATCATCATCATCATCATCATCATCAGCAGCAGAATCGTCATCATCATGCTCATCAGCATCATCATCATCATCATCATCATCATCATCATCCTCATCATCATCATCATCATCAGCAGCATCATCATGAGCATCATGAGCATCATCATCATCATCCTCATCATCATCCTCATCATCATCATCATCATCATCATCATCGTCATCATCATCATCATCATCATCATCATCATCATCATCATCATCATCATCATCATCATCATCATCATCGCCGTCACCATCATCAGCATCATTATCGGCATCATCAGCATCATCAGCAGCAGCATCATCAGCAGCATCATCATCAGCAGCAGCAAGTCCATCATCATCATCATCATCACCACCACCATCACTACCATCACCACCATCACAACCACCACCATCATGAGCATCATCATCATCATCGTTATCCTCAGCATCATCATCAGCAGCATCATCATCAGCATCATCATCAGTATCATCATCATCATCATCATCATCATCATCATCATCATCACCATCATCATCATCGCCATCATCATCAGCATCAACATCATCAGCATCATCATCAACACCACCACCACCACCACCATCATCATCATCATCATCAGCATCACCATCATCATCACTAACACCACCAGCACCATCATAATCATCATCACCTTTACCATTATCGTCATCATCACCGCCACCACCACCGTCATCATCATCATCATCATCATCATCATCATCATCATCAGCATCATCATCAGCAGTATCATAATCAGAATCATCATCATCATCAGCAGCATCATCACCATCATCATCGTCATCATCATCGTCACCACCATCATCATCAGCAGCATCATCAGCAGCAGCAAGAACATCATGATCATCACCACCATCATCACCACGATCACCACCATCATTATGAGCATCATTATCATCGTCATCATAATCATCATCGTCCTTGGCATCATCAGCAGCAGCATCATCAGCAGCAGCATGATCATCATCATTAGCAGCTTTAGCATCAGCAGCAGCATCAGCATCAACACCACCACCACCACCGCCATCATCATCACCACCACCACCACCACCACCATCATCATCATCATCATCATCATAGTCATCATCATCATCATCATCATCATCATCATCATCATCATCATCATCATCCTCATCCTCATCATCATCATCATCATCATCATCATCATCATCATCATCATCATCATCATCATCATCGCCATCATCATCATCATCATCAGCATCAGCAGCATCATCATCATCATCATCATCATCATCATCATCATAATCATCATCATCGCCATCATCATCATCATCAGCATCAGCAGCATCATCATCATCCCCATCCCCATCCCCATCCCATCCTTATCCTCCTCCTCCTCCTCCTCGTTCCGCGTAGGGCCCACCCCCGAGGCGGAAGAACGCCGCCAGCGTTCCGCGGATACCCGTCCACGTCCGCCTTCAGCAGCCGCCTCAGCAGGCCGTCGCGCCGCTGGCGCGACCCCGGCGGGTGGCAGCCGGGCACGCGGGTGGCCCGTACGCCCTGGCGGTGCCGAGGGGCAGGGGGAGGAGGAAGCAGGTGAGGGGCCCTCGTGCCTCGTCCTCCTCCTCCTCCTCCTGCTCCTCCCCCTCCTCCTCCATTCCTTTCCCTCATGCATCACTTGTCCCTGTCGCACCACAAGGCTGGTCGAAAGGGCGGGGTGGGCCTTTCGCATGAGATTCCCTTCCTCACAACGTATGACCCTGAAGCTTAAAAATTGGCGGGTGGTTTTCTAAATGTGGCTCTCGCCTTAACACCCCGCACATCTAAAAATTCGCAAAGGGTTCACGGATTGAGAGCAGTTCCTTTCAACATGTGCCTCTCGCCTCAGCGCTGGTTTTTTTTTTGAAATTGCAAGAGTTTCACGGATTCCCTTGGTCAACCTACCAGAAATGTTTTGGAAAGATTCAAGATGATGAGGGCGCAACAGTACTGTCGATTCGCGGTGTCGAGGTCCAAGGAATCAATGGCGTTCTGGCACGATTCAGCATCTTCAAGACGCAACAGTCAGGTTGATCCGTGGCGTTGGAGTCCCGAGAGTCATGTTTTGGCATGCCTCAAGGTCTTCAACTGATTGTCTTCCAACGAGGAAGTTCCCTGTGGAAATAGATCCGTATAGGGTCCTATGAAGAGGGAACTTGGAGTGAGGGAGGGTCCTCTTCCTCCTCCTCCTCCTCCTCCTCCTCCTCCTCCTCCTCCTGAAGCCCTGAAGCCCTGAGGGTCTGCGAGTCCTACGGACGCGACCGAAGCCCCCAGCCCCCACCCCCCGGCAGCATCGAATGGCGCGCCAGCATCGAGTGGCGCGCCAGGAGGTGGGACAGACGGACGGGGGGCCAGAAGCAGAAGACTCCTTTCCCTCCTCCTTTTCCTCCTCCTTTCCCTTTCCATATAAACAACCCCGCCCTGTCGCACCCCCAAGGCGTGTCGGCAAGGCGAACGGGGCGTCTCATATGAGATTTCGAACAGGACGTCTCATCTGAGCTTTCCTCACCACTTGTTATCCGGACGATTCTGAACTAAATACTAACAAATTACTCTGACCGTAGGACCCCACACGAGAATATATTTAGCTTGTCCCTTGCCCTTTTCTTATTCGACTGGCGGAGGCCGTCCTTCCGCCCTCTGCGTCCTCCTCCTATTCCTCCTCCTACTCCTTCTAATATTTGCCCCCCTCCTCCTGTTCACTCTCGTCTTACTCGTTGCATGTCTTATCCTCTTGCTATTCCGCCTCCTCGTTCTCCTCCTCGTCCTCCTCGTCCTCCGCCTCCTCCTCTCCTTCCCCCTCCTCCTCATATGATTCCTCATCTTCGTCCTTTTTCTTCCTCCTCTTGCACCTCCCCTCCTTTTCCCCCTCCTCATGTCCGCCCCGCTTGTTCTCCTCGTGCACCTCTCCTTCCTCCTGGCAGGAGCGCGCGCGTCGGTTTCCCTCGGCGTCGTCGCCGCCTCGGCCAACACGGGCGCATTCTTTCACGGGCGCAGCCGTTGGGACAACTCCGCTTGATACTCCTCCATATTCAAGCCTCAGGAGCCCAAAAGTGACGACACTCAGACTTCCTCGCAATTCACTCACACACGAGGCTCCCGCCCGAGACTTCCGCCATACCCAAGCTTGAAGAGCCCAGAAATGACGACAGCTACAAGATCCCGATGACCCGCTCAGATTAATAATGTGAGCTGCGGGCCCCATAGGGAGGGGGGCTCCCGCCTGAGACTTCCTCACAATTCACTCACAAAGGAGGTTCCCGCATCAGACTTCCGCCATACCCAAGCTTGAAGAGGCCAAAAGTGACGACAGCCACAAGATCCCGATGACCCGCTCGGATTAATAACACGAGCTGCGGGCCCCATAGGGAGGGGGGCTCCCGCCTGAGACTTCCTCACAATTCAATCACAGACGAGGCTCCCGCATCAGACTTCCGCCATGCTTGAAGAGGCCAAAAGACGACAGTTACAGGATTCAGATGAACCGCTCGGATGAAAAACATGAGCTGCGGGCCCCATGGAGAGAGGGGCCCCCGCCTGAGACTTCCTCGCAATTTACTCACAGACGAGGCTCCCGCCCGAGACTTCCGCCATACCCAAGCTTGAAGAGCCCAGAAATGACGACAGCTACAAGATCCCGATGACACGCTCGGATTAATAACATGAGCTGCGGGCCCCGTCGGGAGGGGGGCTCCCGCCTGAGACTTCCTCGCAATGTACTCACAGACGAAGCTCTCGCCTGAGACTTCCGCCATACTCAAGCTTGAAGAGCCCAAAAATGACGACAAATGCAAGATCCCGATGACCCGCTCGGATTAATACCATGAGCTGCGGGCCCCATGAGAAGGGGGGCCCCCGTCTAAGACTTCCCCACAATTCACTCACAGACGAGGCTCCCGCCCGAGACTTCCACCATACTCAAGCTTGAAGAGCCCAAAAGTGACGACATATACAGGACTCCGATGACCGCTCGGATAAGTAACATGAGCTGCGGCCCCATAGGGAGGGGGCCCTCGCCTGAGACTTCCTCGTAATTCCCTCACAGACGAAGCTCCCGCCTGAGATGAGTGAGTGAGTGAATGAGTGAGTTAGTGAGGGGAGGTGATGATAACGATGATGATGATGATGATAACGATGATGATGATGATGATGATGATGATGATGATGATGATGATGATGATGATGATGATGATGATGATGATGATGATGATGATGATGATGATGATGATGATGATGATCATGATGATGATGACGATGGTGATGATGATGATGATGATGATCATCATCAAATGCTCCACTGCACAAGGTGTCCTCCACATGCTGCGACTGGAAAATAGACGGCACTAAAAAGTTGAGGACAGGAGAAGCACAGTGTAAAGTGGCAGCCGGAGCGCGAGGCAAGCAGCGAAGGGGAGAGAGAGAGAGAGAGAAAGAGAAGGAGAGGAAGGAGAAGGGGGGGCAGGGAGGAGAATTGGCGCTGGCTGCCCAGTTGCATGCCAGCCGTTAGTGTATTGCAGCGCCTGGAGCCAGACGGAAGACAACAGAGAAGCGAAACATGGAGCGCATCACGACTGTGACGCAAAATAGCGCATCACGAATGTGACGCAGAAGGCGGAATGCATCATGACTGAGACGCACACCGCACCTACCTGAGCATTTCGTGTATGAAGTGCCGAACCCGAGAATCCAAGCCGATCGCGCGAAGTCTCGAGCGGAAGTGAGAAATCCACTGGGCGGTAGGGTACACCACCTGGGACGTTCTATCATGATGATGATGATCATCATCATCATGATGATGATCATGATGATGATCATCATCATGATGACGATGATGATGATGATGATGATGATGATGATCATGATGATGATGACGATGGTGATGATGATGATGATGATGATCATCATCAAATGCTCCACTGCACAAGGTGTCCTCCACATGCTGCGACTGGAAAATAGACGGCACTAAAAAGTTGAGGACAGGAGAAGCACAGTGTAAAGTGGCAGCCGGAGCGCGAGGCAAGCAGCGAAGGGGAGAGAGAGAGAGAGAGAGAGAAAAAGAGAAGGAGAGGAAGGAGAAGGGGGGGCAGGGAGGAGAATTGGCGCTGGCTGCCCAGTTGCATGCCAGCCGTTAGTGTATTGCAGCGCCTGGAGCCAGACGGAAGACAACAGAGAAGCGAAACATGGAGCGCATCACGACTGTGACGCAAAATAGCGCATCACGAATGTGACGCAGAAGGCGGAATGCATCATGACTGAGACGCACACCGCACCTACCTGAGCATTTCGTGTATGAAGTGCCGAACCCGAGAATCCAAGCCGATCGCGCGAAGTCTCGAGCGGAAGTGAGAAATCCACTGGGCGGTAGGGTACACCACCTGGGACGTTCTATCATGATGATGATGATCATCATCATCATGATGATGATCATGATGATGATCATCATCATGATGACGATGACGATGATGATGATGATGATGATGATGATGATGATGATGATGATGATGATGATGATGATGATGAGAGTGTGAGTGAGTGAGTGGGCGGGTAGGTGGGTGAGTGAGTGGGTGAGTGCGTGAGTGAGTAATGATGATGAGTGTATGTGTGTGTGAGTGGGTGAGTGAGTGGGTGGGTGAGTGTGAGTGTGTGTGTGTGAGTGCGTGAATGAGTGTGTGAATGTGTGTGTGAGTGTGGGTGTTCTCTTGTTCCTGCGCGGGGTGTCTAGAGAAAACGAGAACCCCACCTTGGATGTGGGGGGGGAAAACATCAAACGACAACAAGAACAAAAGCAAATTGGGAATGGGTTCAGTCTGTGGCTCCCGCCCTGGCACCGCGAAGATCCGTCGTGGAAGCTTGCAACCGTTACCCGGATGGAGAGGGGCGGCTTTCACAGCGCGGCGCTCGCCGCAGCGCCGCGCAAATGTTTGATGAATATGCTTGCGGCAGCTGCACGGACGGAGGGCGGCTCCTTCTCAAAATGTGGCCTCCTCCTCCTCCTCCTCCTCCTCCTCCACATCCACCTCCTCCTCCTCCTCCTCCTCCTCCTCCCCCTCCTCCTCCTTTTCCTCCTCCTCCTCCTCCTCCATAGCGCCGCGCACACAACTTGCAACGCCTGCAAGGATCGATGGTGTGGCTTCCAAGGACGTGTCTCTTGCGTTGGAGCCGCAAAAGAGTCGTCGTGAAGGTGCGCAGTGGTTACACGGACGGAGAGGGGCGGCTTTCAAATGTGGCTCTAGCTTCGTTCGCGGACACCCGTCTCAAAAACTCGACACAGGGGTGCCGTTTCAATGTTAGCCAGCGTGGACCACAAACAATGATTCCTTGCAATCCCTGAGGTGCAATCTAGGTGGTGCAATCAAGGTGGTGCAATCCAGGTTTTGCAGCCCATGTGGTGCAGTCTATGAGGCGCAAGGCAATGCAAAGTAATGCGAAGCATTGAACTCAATGCCAAGCAATGATAAGCAATGCCAAGCAAAGCAAAGAAAAGCAATGAAAAATGTAAAGCAACGCAAAGCATTGCAAAGCAATGCAAAGCAATACAGAGCTACTCAAAGCTATGCAGGGGAGCCTTCCAGGGTAGTGAGCGTCTACTCTGGGTTTCGTAATAAGCGTGGGGGGATATCCCCCCGACGGGGGTCAACCTCGCCTCGTCGTCCCGCCACAACGGGGGTCGGAGCGCCTTCGGCGCACGGTGGCTGCCTGCGACGGGGGTCGATGTGGGCCTGTCGGCGGGGGTGACGCCCCCCCGACGCTTCTTAAGAAACTCGGAGTAGCGTTTTTGGTGGCCCGAGGAATCATTCCGGACTCCTTCAGAGCCACAAGTTTTGATTTGCGGCGTCTGGGGCTTCGCCACCTCTCGGGGGCGGTGCTGGTCCAGAAAAAAGGGGCCACCTCGCTTCTCTTTAACCCGCTTCCTCTAAGACGGGTTGCGCAAAGGCCTTTGCAAGTCGTATGGCATTTGAACTCCCCGCGCATTGCTAATTGCTCCTCCTCATCGGCCTCACTATCATCCTCACTCGTCGTTCGTCCACGCCCTCGTCCTGCATCCACCCCTGCTGGATGCATGTCGTGAAAGCTATGTGGTGTGAACGATGTGATGCAGCATACATAGTGCAAGTTAGAGGCGGCAACGAGGCGGCAGCGGACGGCAACGTGGCGAAACCTCGCTGGACCCCCAAGCGCAGGAGGCGGCAACCAGTCGGCAACGGGCAGCAATTTTGCTGCTACACCCCACCAGACCCACCCAACGCAAGAGGCGGCAACGAAGCGGCAACGGGCAGCGACACAGCGAAACCTCGCCGGACCCACCCAGCGCTCGCCGAAACCACCCACCGCAAGAGGCGGGCAACGAGGAAACAACGGGCGGCAAAATTAGAGAAACCTCGCTGGACCCACCCAGCGCAAAAGAAGAGGCGGCAACGCGAAGGCGCCGGGCGGCGACATAGGAAACCTCGCCGGACCTACCCAGCGCACCAAGCGGCAACGAGGCCGCAACGGTCGGCAACGTGGCGAAACCTCGCTCGAGCCACCCAACGCAAGAAGAGGCCACGGGCGGCAACGTTGGGAAACCCCGCCGCTCCAGGCCCATCCAACTCCTTAGCAACAGAAGTAAGAACTCCTAAGTACAAGCACTGCTTGGGGAAAAACTCCTCCCTGCTGCACCCCCAGACGTATGGGTAAGGCGGGCGGCGCATTTTACTTGAGACTTCCTTACAACTTATGATTCTGAAGCTTGAGAATCCAACCAGCCCTCTGGGCGCAGGTAGTCTAACGATGACTTCCCTTCCTCTTCCAAAAACCCTTCTTCCCCTTCGGGGAGGGTTCTACCCCTCCCCCATACACCCCCCCCCTGGACCTGGACGGAAGGGGGGGGCCGCGAGGCGTTGGAGCGTCCAAAATCGACCCCTGTGAGGGCCAATTTTTGACACCCCTCACAAGGATCGTGGCCCCCGAGGGGCGGGGCGTCGATCGGGTGAATCCCTCCTTTGATCGATAGCCTCGTAGATGGCCCCAAGAGGCGCTCCAGGGCTCCCGAGAGAACCCCAAGAGAGTCACAAGAGGGCTTCAACAGGTTCCCAAGAGGACCAAGAGGCACCCGAGAGGGCCCCAAGAGGCCCTCGAGCGGTCTCAGAGAGCCCAAGATGACCTCCAAGATGGCTCAGATGGCCCAAGCTGGCTCAAGATGGCTCCCAAGATGCTCCAAACGGCCCCAAGACCGCTCCAAGAGCGCCCAAGAGCGCTCCAAGAGAGCCCCAAGAAGCGGTTTGCCAGCTCCTTAGGGGGGAAGCTGAGTTGGGAACCCCCCCATCCTGTGATCGATGGCCTCCAAGATGATCCAAAGAAGCCTTCAAGGGTTACCAAGAGGATTCCAAGAGGGCCCCAAAAACTCCCCGAGAGCACCAGCAGCTGCAGCAGCAGCCGCTAGAATACCTCTAGATGGTTCCATGAGTCCTCGTCCGCGTCGTCCTTATCCTAGTCATCGTCATCCTCGTACTCGTCCTCATCCGCGGCCTCGTCCTCCTCCTCCTCCTCCTCCTCCTCCTCCTCCTCCTCCTCCTCCTCCTCCTCCTCCTCCTCCTCCTCCTCCTCCTCCTCCCCCTCATCCTCCTCCTCCTCTTCCCCTCGACCCCACGCGGCACCCAGGGATGGCCCGAAGAGGCCTTCCAAGGCCATACCCTTGCTCGCTCTGGTTCCCTAGATGTGTCCCTTCGTCCCTTTTCCCGTCAGCTCTGAAGGGCAGGGTTTCTGAATGGGCTGGTGGGGATACTTTTTTCGGTCGCGGCCGCGAGCGAAGAGCGCAGGCGGCGAGCAGGGTGTCCGGACCAACGGGCAAGCCTAATTAGCTACAAGACGCTGGTGGGGATACGCGAAGCGGGAAGAGTGTGCAGCAGTTGCACAAACGGACGGAGGGTCAAGATGTGGTTCTCGCCTCTTGGCGCGGCGCACACTCGTCCCAATGTAACTGACAACAGTGGAGGTGATGGTTCTCAACAATGGATCTCTCGCCGTAGTGCCGCGTATATTCGTCTTCAAACCTTGCGACAGTTACACGCGTGGAGGGCGGTTTCTTTTCAAAGTGGGGCTCTCGCCTGGAACTTCCTGCTATAAACCAGCAATGTGAACACATGTAGCAGCTTTACGGTTGTAAAACGGTTCCTTTCAAAATGGGGTCCTCGCTCGAACTTCCCTCGCAGATCATGACCAGGTGTGTAAAGAGTTGTGCAACGGGCACCCAGATGGGGAGCGGCCCTTTTTCAGAGCAGAGCTCTCTCTGGACGACACCTCGCTGAAGCTGCATGATCATACCTTCTAGCCTTCCTCATGGCTCGCCGCAAGGATGCAGGGCAACTTCTTTGAAAAAACGAAGCCCTCGCCTGAACGGCAGGCCCATAGGAAGCTGGTCTTTCAAGGAAGGCTCGTATGGCTTTATGAGAAGGGATCGTGGGGCGGGAGGGTGTACATGCATCTCGGGTGCCTGGTCCTCCTCCTCCTCCTCCTCCTCCTCCTCCTCCTCCTCCTCCTCCTCCTCCTCCGTCCTCCTTCTCCCCCGCATCCTCCTCATTCTCATCCTCATCCTCATCATAATCCTCGCTCGTCGCTCGTCCGCGCCATCGTCCCCCTTCCACTCACCTTATGGATGTTAGCCAGCGTGGGCCACAAAGAGCAAGCACCGTGGATCTGTAAGCTATGTCGTGAAAGCTATACGGTGTGAACTATGTGCTCCTCCTCGTCACCTGCCCTCCCCCCTCTCTGGGCCTTCGGGCGGCCCTCCACGTCGCCACCCGCCGGACGGGGAAAAACGGCCAGGGGGCCAGGGACCAGCCTTGAGCGGACACGGGCCAGGAAGGGTAGGAGCCTCCGGGCACCTCCGAGAACATCCAGAGACCCCAGAAACCTCCGAAGGCCTCCGGGAGGGCTCCCGAGAACACTCGGGGAGACACAAGGCTCGGGTTCGGGGTGCTCGGGTTGGCCTGACAGGGCCGTCATGAAGAAGACGAGTCCCCGTCCGAAATTTGACGCGAGCTCCGGCTGCAAACACCCCACGAAACCTGGACCGTCCAAGTCCAGGACGCGCTCGTCAAAAAGCGTCAGCGAACCCAAGTTCTGGCGTACTCCCCGAGACATGCAAGAGCCCCAGGCTCTTCGAAAACATGTGGGAGCCCCAGCCATAGGTTTTCGCGTTTTTGGAGCCCCATGCTCCCACCTGGAAACCCGCCGTGCATGAAACGTCTTACGCTTCCCCGGACCATGCGGGAGCCCCCACACGCCTCCCGACAACTCCGCAAGCCGCCAAAGACCTCCGACGGCCTCGGACGGCCTCCTTCGAGGGCGACGGCGACTGCTATGGCGGCGGCGACACAACTTAGCATGAACGAGACGGGTCCTGAGGGAAACGGACCCCAAGGCCTCTGGGCCAGCTCCTCATCCAGAGTCCCCGGGTTCGGTGGCAACTCATGGGAGCCTCCCATACCATCTTGTCGGCACTTGCGAATCGACGCTAGTCGACGCTAAATCGACGCAAATCGACGCTAGCCGACGCTAAATCGGCGCTATCTCATCGACTCCCAGGCGCTGATCGACGCGAATCGACGCCAAAGACGGAATTGAGGAGGTAGACACCAGGCTCCCCCGGCTTGCTAGTTACCGAACCCGGGGCCTCAGAACCCAAAAACGGGGAGAAGTCCTCCAGGACGGCGAGAACGACGGCGACGGCGACAGCGGCGACAGCGGCGGCGGCGCGCCCGCCTGCGCGCCCGCCTGCGCGCTGCCCACCGTGCCGGCGGGGCCCTCGCCAGGCCGGCAGGCGCGGTTGGCCAGCGTCGACGCCAGGGCCCACCAGGGGACCCTCGCGGCCTGCCCGCCCTGGGAGGATCTGCGCGGCGCGGCGGCACGCCAGAGTCCGGGGAACGAACAGTGGCATAAGCACATAAAAACTCGGAGGTCCGCGCGGATTTCTCGGATCGGCGCTTGGCGGCGCCTCCGGTGCCGCCCCTGGCGCGCTCCGCGCGCCAGGGAGGGGGGGTCCAGCGCGGACCCAAGAAATCCGCGCGGACCTCCGAGCTGTTTCGTTCCCCTAAGAGCCGACCTGGGCAGGAGGGGCCACTGGTGCGCGGCCTGCCGGATGCGGCAGCGGCGGCCTGCGTGATTGGGCTCGGCTCCCCTGCCCCGGGGTCCGGCGGCAGGACCGGTCTCCGCAGGACCGCGGGGACGGCACCACGGCAGCACCGCAGAACTGCGGCGCGGCACGGGCGCAGGAGCCCTCCGGCAGCAGCGCGGTGGCACGAGTTCTGCACACAGCGCCGAGCACGGAAGCTGCACCGCCAAGGTGTCTACAGTCGAAACTGATACTGAGGCACTGAACGACGGATGGCCAAGAGACGTCGCCATGCGAGGGCCCTCACTTACACTATGCGGTCGGCCACTTCGTTCCGATCCACAAGACGAGGCCCGCGCAATGTCACCAGTGTGCGGATGAAGACGCGAGGGTATCCCCCTTCCGTCGACGGCATCTGAGGAAGTGAACGACTGATGGCTGAATGTAACATGGTTTCCTCGATGGCAAACATAGATAAAGATCACTGTTCCCCGTGATACCGTTGATTCTTCGTAGAGAATCAGCCCTGCCCTTATCAAGCTCCCCCACTAGAAAGTTCTGACGAAGCAGACTTTGAGTTACAGTCGAAACTGATAGGACGGATAATCGACAAGGATGCGAGGGCCTCGGATGCCCAGATCGAGGCTCTTCGAGCAGGGCTGGCCCTCGAGCGTGGTGAAGGATGGACCGAAGAGACAACGGATGCAGGGGCGCCCCTGGAAGGTCACCCGATCGGTTTCGACTACATCCCCAACCCAGGTCAACCAACTTCACACATCGCGCCCCGCGATGCGCAACGCGCGGCTGTCCTCGCTCCCTTGCACCGCCCCCTGGAGAGAGGGCCTGCTCGGCGGCCTGAGGCCGCGACGCGCAGCGGATCGATCCTCTTCGCAACCCCAGGGGTGACCAAGGCAAGCTGTCCACGTGCCGCCCAAGAACTCCCCAGAATCTTGCCCCCAAAAAGACGCCAACCGCCCCCGACGAAACCCCAAGAAGCTGAAAGCCCAAGATTCCCCGGAGATCGCGAGCGCTCCGCAACTCCGTTCTTCACTCTGACTGCCGCTCCAAGGGGCCAGCGGTGCGGCGTCAGCCAATGAATCTTGCCCCCCAAAAAACGATCATACTCGACTGGAGCTTCTCGAAGCCTCCCGAGGAGGCGCCCACAGAGCTGGCGCTTCGCGGCCCAGGGGCCTGCGAAAGCCTCTATACAAGAACCTCTCGGGATCTTCGCAAGGGCCTCTCTAGCGCAGGGGAGAAGCTCAGGGGCCCACTCCCACCTCATCGATGTTGGCCTGGGTTTCGACATTTGGCATAAGGGTGGAGGATGGGGGGGTGTCTAGGCCAGTGCTTAGTCGATCTTCCTGCACCAGTCTCGCAAGCAGTCTTGGGGGGTGGTCCTGACCAGCCGCCAAAAGCGGCCGCCAAAAGCAGCAAAGATCTGGTCTATACGGGGGGGAAGGGGGGGGAAAGGGGGCCCGCGACGATCGGCAAAACAATTAATCTGAAAACGTCGGGCCTTGCTCGAGGCCTGGCTGCGGCAAATACGCACTGTCCGTGGCACCCGGAGAAGCGGAGCCTCTGAAGACGAAAAACAAAAAGGAGGACAGAGAGGAGGGGGCACGGTGTCCCTCGTCCACGTGTGCACCTCCTGGTGGCCTTCGGCACATCCTGCCACCGTGCCTGGGATGTTGGTCGGGGACCTCTTGGATGCACGCTGGGGTCTTTCGGGAAGCCTCTGGGCAACCTCTGGGGGCCTCTCGTGGGTCTCCTGGGAGCCTTTGGGGTCCTCTTGGGGGACTCCTTCGGGGTCTTGCGGGCGGCTTCCTGGGTCCTCTCGGGCTCGAGGCCTCGAAACGTGAGGACAGAGGGGAGGGGCCACCGTGCCCCTCGCCCACGTGTGCCCCTCCCGGTGACTTTCTCCCCCGTCCTGCCACCGTGTCCGGGTTTTTGGTGCGAGGCCTCTGGAATGCCTGCTCGGGTCTCCGGAGAAGCCTCTGGGGAGCCTCTGGGGGACAGTTCTGAGGCCTCCTGGAACACCTTTCGAAACCGCTGTGAAACCTCTTTTGGGCCTCGTGGGTCCTCTGGGGGGGTCCCTGGGTGGGCCTGCTGGGGGTCTTAGGGATTCTCTTGGGGCGGAGGCCTCGACATGTAAGCTCGGATTCTTCCCCTGGGGCATCTCCTGGGGCCCTCTTGGGGCCGTCTTGGGCGGTCCTGGGTACCTCTTGGGCCGTCTTGGGGCCCTCATGGGCTGCCTTGGGGCCCTCTTGGGGCCCTTTTGGGGCCGTCTTGCGGCTGTCCTGGGGGCCTCTTGGGTCGTCATGGGCACTGGCAAGACCAACAAAAACGATTGCGTCAGAAATGTGCGTTTCCCCAAGAAGGAATGGGACGATTGTTGCCCTCTCGGAGCTGTCTTTGAGCGTCTTGGGGGGCCTCTTTGGGGCCGTCTTTGACGCCATTTGGGGCCGTTCGGAAGCCACGCTGGCCCGTCTGGGACCCATCTCGAACCCACCCAGGAGCTCTGGGGAGGCCGTGGAGGCTCCCTGGGGAAGCTCCCTGCGTGGGAGGGGGCACGCACGGGTCCCCGGTGCTCGGCCCAGGGGGGCCCCTGGGGCCAGATGTCCGACATGCTAAGAATGTATGCGGGGCATCTGCGCAGACACTCGCGTCCGAGAGGCGTCGCCATGCGAGCGCCCTCACTTACCCAGTGCGATCGGCCGCTTCAATCCGATCAACATCAACGAAGCATGCTTGGAGAGGTAGGAAAAACAAGACGAGGCACACGTTCCACAGCTTCCTTCGTGGGCGCATCTTCACCAGCATGCGGATGAAGACGCGAGGGTATCCCCCTTCCGTCGACGGCATCTGAGGAAGTAAACGACTGATGGCTGAATGCAATATGGCTTCCTCGTGATACCCCGGGACACCCGTGATACCCTTGATCCTTTGTACAAACACAACCCTGCCCTGCTCAAGCCCCCTGCTAGAAAGTTCTGACGAGACAGATTCTGAGGTAATCGAAACTGGTCGAGGATAGGCCGAAAAGAACAGAAAGGGCAAGGATGCAAGGGTACCCTTGGGAAGTCGGTCATCCTTACTATTGGTGTTGACTGGAATGGCGCGTGGACCACCCCACTGGTCACGAGACACTGTCCGCAGGGCCGCACGCAGCAGCCGCCAGGACCCTTCTGGGCGGGCAACTCCCAACGACTCTGAAAACAAAAGAAAAAAATCTGCGCGACAGCACGCACGGTCGGCAACGCAGAACTCAACGAGACATGAGCCGAAATGCAATGTTCTGTGACATTGCCACCTCGTCCACCCTCCGCCCCATCGCCCATCCCCGCCCGCACCATCCTGAAGCCTCCCCTCCGTCCTACTGCACTCATCGTGATGATGAAACCTGCAGAAAACTACAGACATGTCGAGGAACACTAAATCCGCCGACCCTGTCGGCGTGTGGACCCCCTGTCGGCGTGCGCTCAGTCGACGCATCCGTTGTCCTCTTCCCCTGCGTCTCCGTCGTCCCCTTTCCCTGCACCCTCCTCTTCAAGCCTGCCAGCGAGAGAAAACCGTAGCAACGTCGTACCTAAGTCGCCGGGAAGCCCCTTCCCTTTGATCACTCCCCCGCCGAGGGGGTGGGGGGTCCGGGCGGGGTCCCCGGGGGGGTCCCGAGGGGGGGCGAGGGTCAGATACGCATCCGCCCCTAGGCGTCCAGGAGCCCAAAAAAGCACCACGAACCGACATTTCGAGCTTCCCGCCTCAAGAAGCCCCCGGAAGGCCCCAAGAGCCCCTCAAGGGGCCCGAAGAGGCCCCCAAAAGACCCCCAAGAGGCCCAACAGAGGCCCCAACAGGCCCGAAAACATCCAAGAGGCCTTTCAACCACAACCCCAGCACGGTGGCAGTTAAGGGCCGCAGGCCACAAGGCTCCTTGTCTGTCTCTGCTACGACTCCCTCGGCCCACATGGGGAACATTTCCTTCGCCTTCTCCTGCTCCCTTCCACCTTATCCCCCTCCTCCTCCTCCTCCTCCTCCTCCTCCTCCTCCTCCTCCTCCTCCTCCTCCTCCTCCTCCTCGTATTGGTCGTCGTCATCTTCGGGGTCGGCGGCACCGGCCGTAAGGCCTTAGCAATAAAAAATTGTCCGATGGCCCCCGCTTGCCGGCCGTGAGAAAGCATGTGAGATGACTGGCTGTCACCCCTCCCCCTTTCCCCCTCCCCTGGGGTGCAAAATCCCGCTAGAGGGGGGAGGGGGGCACGAACTCCACAACGCACCTCTGGGGAACATCTCTCAAATTCAACCCTCTGTGGCCGCCAAGATGCCTAAGATGCTTTCGAAGATAGCTCTCCAGACGGGCTCCAGCGCGCCAAGGAGGCCTCAGAAAACATCGAGACGGCCCAAGACACCAAGAAAGGAGCCCCAAGAGGACCCCCAAGAGCGCCCGAACATACAAAATCATTTGATGTCTCATCGGTTGTTGAATGATTTCGCACTCTCGCCTTGGCGGTCGTCTGCAAGACCAAAATTGCTCAACAAACCTTTCAATACCTCCCAACCCCCTCTCATCCTCGTGCGTGATCGCCCTCCTCCTCCTCCTCCTCCTCCTCCTCCTCCTCCTCCTCCTCCTCCTCCTCCTCCTCCTCCTCCTCCTCGTCTCCTTCTTCTTAGTATTCTTCTTCTTTTTAATATTATTATTACGATTATTACTACTACTATTATTATTAGTAGTAGTAGCAGTAGTAGTATTAGTATTAGTATTATTA